AAAAAAAACAGGAAGAAAAGAAAAGAAAAAAGGGGGGAGCCTAAACTCCCACCCCCCACCATTAACCCGCAAGTGAAACCAAGAGAATACCCACCCGAAAACCCAAGAAACAACCCCCACCGGAGGGAGGCCAGAAAGACTTCACAAAGGAAGAGAGAGAACCCTTACTCGCAGGAAGGGACTTTGACTTTATTCCACATACAAGGGGGGAGTTTAATGGAAAAAAATACCCATCTTTGCTTATATAATTATTAAGATGAAAAATAAATTTTTTTAAAGAATTTGACTTAAAATATAAAAAAGTTATAAATTATATAAAACGTTTGATTGAAAATATTTCGAGAAAGAAATGAAAATATGCTTAAAACATTGTTTGATTCCCATCTTTTGGAAAACATATTTTTCTCCAAAAAAGTTACTTGTACAAAGAGAATTTGACAAAAAAGTTGACACACTCTCACATGATGTTGGCCACCACATGTGTAAAAAATTGAAAAAAAAAGTGGGACCTCCCCGATGTGAGGGGCCGGTCAGCGTGTTTGTCACCCTGACCCGGTACACCAAGCAGGGTTCATTTTTCTCTCTATTCTTTTCAACCACACATTTTTCAATAAAATAATATTACACACAATTCAAAAAAATTTCTTTCATTTTTAATTACACATTCTCCATCAATCTACTATTTCAAAATGTATCTTAAAAAAAGGGACTCAAACTGACCATAAATAAAAAAGAATGATTTTGCTACTTATACATAAAAAAATGTACGTAAGTGATTACCGAGAATGATGTGGTGAGAAAAGATTAGAAGAAAAATTTTGATTGTGTTTTAAATAGGCAAATGATAGAGTTTCATATGGTATAATGTAATTTATTATGTAAATCTTGATGTACACTTGCAAGATCCAAAAAATAAAGTCCTAAATTTCAATTCATGTGCACCTATAAAAAGACAAATCATGGTTGACGTATATCCTATTTGAAAGAATGACACGTGTAATTTTACTATTGGACAGTTAAAATTTTTTTTCTAATAAAATATTATCAACACATTTTTCTGTAGTGGTACAAAATGAAGTAGAAATAGTAAAATCCTAAAAAGATCCTATTAGAATCACACGGCTCAATTTCCACTTTTTCTATTCCTTGCGTTACCCACACACACGATGCATTCAGACCGTTACATTCCAACGTCTAACATCTGCCAATCATGACCGTCAATTACTCCATGAACCACGATAAAAAAACTCAAAAAAAGTCAAGAGTCCCCTTTTCTTCTTCAGTTCTGTATCTGTGCTCTCCACACTCTCCTGCTAGGGTTTTTTTACGATTTCTTTCAAATTTTTTACTTCTAAGGTCAGTATAGTTGACAGATCTCTCTCTCTTAATCATCTTCAGATTAATGGTT